GTTAACCTGTCATGGTCTTGGTTCTGTCGTTCTTTACTTTGCTCCTTGTTTTCTAGTTTTATTGGTTTAATTCCAGTTTTGTTGTAATTTCTAGATTTATGTTAGTTTGCATGTTTTTCAGTTGTCCTCTGTTGCCCTCTTGTGTGTGTTCCTTTCCCCTTGGCTCCCTCATTGCCTCCTCTCACACCTGCTCCTTGTCAGCTCGTTAGCCCTCCCTTTGTCTCTCTCTGCTATATATGCTCTCCCTCTGCTCTCACTCTTTGTTGGTTCCTTGTCTAAGCTGTCTTCCCATGCTGTGGTCTATGTTCCTCGTCTCTCCCTGGCTCCTCGTGTTTGGTTTTCCCCAGATGTCTCCTTAGTTCTGGTTTGCTTTTCATTATTAGTTGGATTTTTGGATTCCTTACTTTGTTTACTGTTTTTGCCCCATTAAAACTCCCAGAAATCTCCTCAGCCTCTCTGCCTCTGCGTTTGGGTCCTCAAACCTCAACTAACCCTGACAGAACCGAACCGTGGATTTTGTGAACCGTTCCACCCCTATAATAAAGACATTCTTGAGACCCACCGGGTCACTGGCAACCTGGTGGGTTTTAAGAGGTTAAACTTGGTCCACTGAGTTGTTCTGTTTTCAGAAGATGCTGAGGACCCTCATGTGGTCATTGAGGGCCCCTTGGTGCCTGCAGTCACCGCCTTGGTGACCCCAGCACTATAGTTTGTGCTTCATCACATATGATTCAGCTGCTGATTTGTGTTTCTCATTGATTCTACGTTCCTTCTGCTCAGGTTATTGTGCTTGTCACCACTATTTAGAGCAGCAGGTCTGCTATCTCAGTGTCCCGATCAGCGAGGATCTCTATTCTCTGTTGCTCTGTCAAAAGCTGAGCTTAAAGTTTGTTAGACCAGATGTTTTATGCAGGTATTCTGGTTAAAATAGTGAAGAATAGACTAGATATTGTTTCATCTAGCAGTAGATTGAAAGAAAGATTCTGTGAATATAGACAAAGGCCTTAATATTTGAGAATCAATGGTTCCTGGATGGTTATTGGGTTTTTCAGGTTTGGTTGTTTAGAAAAGAAAAAATTTATATTTGCATTGTCATTACAGTTAATTGTTTTTGTTAAGGGAAGTGATCCTATATTATGGCAGCATGTTTTACTTACAGCTATGTAAATAATTATTTTTGTATTTTAACTGCCTGAAATTAATTTGTACAATGTGTTTACAACAGCAAACTGTTTGCTTTTCTCTTTTTTTCCTGAAGCCAAACTGCAGGTTACTTTAGCTCATTAGTGTGGTACAGGGCCCATGATGTGACCATTTTTTTTTTTGTTTGTTTTATTTTATTATGTACTGCTATTATGCTGTTTTCCTTTTCTTGGTTATGGTTTAGCCAATAAATTTTGAAGATTTTATTGAATGCATCCCTTTCTTTGTGTCTGCCCAGGTAGATTTGGGCTATAGACAAAATGAAACAAATTGAATCACATTTTGATGGATCAGTTGTTTTTTTTCTTCCATATATGCTCCAACACTTTATCATGTTTCAATACTTTTTTTTTTTTCCTTATGTAATTGCAGCATGTCATTCCCCCTTTGGCCTACAGTTCACCTAATTATTTAGGTTTTGGCACCAAAAGGCAATGAATAGAAGCTAGACATAAGAACCAAAATACATTTTTTAAACTCAAACATCATTTCTTCCTTCGTACTTTGTCTTAACCATAGTTTTATTCTCTCCAATTTCTTTTTTTCATTGTTTGCTTTGCTCTTATTTTTGGCCATTTTCAGAACTATTTCTTCTCCATTGTTAATAAATGCCCTCTACAAAACATTTGTTAACTCTTTTTCTGTGTCTTTAACGTTTATCTGACTCTAAATCCTTATTTCCTTCATCAAAAGCTGGTTTCAGCCACGTTATTGAACCCAAGATTGTAACAAAAAGATAGAAATAAAGAGGAGAGCAGAAGTTTTATTAGCCAAGCAATAAATAAATATAAGAAGCAATATGTACATGTGTTTGTACCATTTTTTATAATATGGAGGTGGAAAAAAAGGTTTTGGTATTGCAAATAAAATGATTTTGTTCCCACACCACAGCAGCTGTTCACTCGTGCTAATGTAATTGTCCTTATTAAAAGGATAGCCTGGAAAAAGTCAGCTTCTTTGTTGCAGCATGTTTTTCCAAATAATGCACATAATGGTGAAAGTCTTATGATCTTACATTTTGTTTCTGTTTAAGTTTTTATTTTTTGGGGTTTGCAAGTTTGCTTTGTGTTGTTCTGTGCTGTCTAGATTGAGATTGTTTTCGCATTCTTTGTTTTGCTCTTCCTGTTATCTCTTTTCTTCAACATTTTGGTTTATTCCTTTATTCCTTGATCTAGTTTTTTTTATTCTTTCTCCTATTGTTTTATTTTCTATGGTTTCACCTGTATCTCCAGTCCCTTCTCTTATCCTCTGGTTTTCCCTTGGTCATTTCTTATTTTGTATTCATTAGTTTTGTTCCCCTTTAGTAGTGAAGGGTCCAGCAACACAAATGCATCGGTGCATGCGTGGTGCCCATAAAGCAGATCACTGTCTCATGCATGTACCATTTCAAGAAAGTCATGTGACCAACACAGTAGTTATTTCTAATTTACTAACACATTAAACTGTGGTTAAAAACGTATCTGTCACATGATGCATCTGCTATAGGAATGTTACACCGTTTTTATTTAAATTTTCTTGCTGTGTCATCCTTTTCCTGTCAGTTATCACTCAAGTGATCTGAAATAAAGTTAATTTCAAATTGACTGAAATGTTTTAAAGATAGGATTGAAAAACCCTAGTCCACAAGCATTTTCATTAACATTTTCCCCTAAATTTTAACGTTATGATATACATTTACATTATTTATTGGCTGCATCTGAAAATATCAAAGATCATTTCAATTTAAATATAGATATGAAATAATACAATATAACCTACAATAATTTTTATTATATCGTTGTACTAGGTCATCAAATCCATTCAGTTTAGTCTGTTAAATAAGCTGCCTGTAGTGTCTTTAAATGTCCAGCAGGTGCCAGTATTCTGTGAGACAGTATCGACGCAGGATCAATACAGTTTGGCAATGAGTCAAAACGCATCAAGATGCCTCATTAACCCATCACTACCCTTTATCCTTATTTAAGTTCTGTCTTTGTAACTTTTATATCCTGTTGTTCCCCCCTAGTGTCCTTTCCTGTCCTCTCCGTCTAGTTACTGTCTACACCTGCTCCCTATCAGCTAATTAGTACTCCCGTTGTTCTGTTCCCCATATATTCACATCCTGTTCAGTTCCTCATTGCTGGATCCTTCTCATACTTTAGTTTTATTCCTCCCTAGTGTCTCCTATTTTTGGGGGGGTTCTTCAGTTTAGTCAATCAGTTCTGGACTATGGATTTTATATTTTTACTTCTTCATAAAATGTTGTAAGTAATCCTCCCTGCCTCTTCTACTCTGCATTTGGGTCCACCTTAACAACCACCAACTCTGACAGTTGGTCAAAAGAGTTTCTAAAAAGGATGTGAGATGATAGAAATCCTTTTCCTGTTCCTAGATATTTTAAGTCATGATGGAAGGGAAGTCAACCTTAATTACCTTTTCTGCTGACCTTAAATTAATGTGAAGTTTTCACCTGTCTTGTTTTGCGGACCAGCAACACTACACAGTGAGTTGCCACAGGAAGCACACTCTTTGCTGGCCCTTCTTTTGAACAGTGTCTTTATGTGAGGAGGGCACCGCACATCTGGAGAAATGATAGAGACCAAAATTGATCCCTTCAAGACATTGTAGTCTAGGACGATGATGAGGGGAGAGTGTTTGAGGGGTGTTTTCTGCAAGTGTGCCAAGCTCCAGGTGGTTCTAATTGCACCAGTGGAGCAACCAAGCATGGAGTAATCTGCAAACTTTGGGAGTTTTAAAATTGTACAGATGAGGCTCTCTCTGTTGTAAACGTAGAGAGAAGAATTGGGGACAGAACACACCCTTTGAGCTTCCGGTAATATACAGTTGGTTCTTGTGCAGGAGAAGATTGTTTGATCATTAATTTTTTCCAAAATTTTCTTCTGGAATTTTAAAAATGACGGCATATTGAGTTTAGAGGTTTTGCCTTATCAAATCTCTTGAATTTTGCTCAATTTGCTTCTACACTGTAAACCCGAATAAGTTGAAAATACTCAAAATCTTTGTCGTAACTGATTACGTGAATGTTTTTAATTAGAGGAAATAAATATTATGAGTTTGACTGAACTTAAAAAATATAACTTCAGTTTACTCAAAAGCTTTCTTTACATTATTTAGTTTTTGTGTAATAGAAATAACTTTTTTGAGTTTGACTAAACTTAAAAAATATACCTTCACTTTACTCAAATATATATATGTAAAATATTATAGTGCTTTTGCTCACAATATATGTTTAATTTTATTTCCTAATGTCTAAAAACAGAAACAGACATCAAATCTCTTTTTTAGTTCACGTTTTTTTATTTAAGTTTTAAAAAAACCTTTAATAAAACATTGGGAATAGTTTCGATAAACCAGTTTAGCCAGAAAAAAAAGGCTTAACAGTGATGCAGGTCACTCAAACGTTATTTAACAGAAAGACCTTGGTAATTTTAAAAGAAAGCTCATCCGTCTTGTTACAAAAAAAAAAAAAAGAAAAACACAAATTAAACAACAAATTATAAAAGCTATGAATAAAAAGACATTGCGACAGAATCAAAGCTAACACAACCAATTATTCAACTAAAATTAGTCACAAACAGTGCATCAATGGTGACGTTTTTGAAAGGCCAAATAACCATCTCGTGATTTCTTAAATGACATCTCAAGTGTCCAAATAATCTTGACTTAGAAAAAGGCTTCTTAAAGTCACACAAGGGACAGGTGAAACATAAATGTGGTCCTTGTGCTCCATCAGTTGCATCAAGTCTGCCTGTGCCAGTATGACAATGTGAAAGATGGGTTTTAACTGTATTAAATGCAATTGCTGTAGAGGCACGGCAGTGGGCTGACTCTTGAATACTGACTATGTTGCAAACGATAATGTGTAAATAACTTTGCCGAGGTATCCAGGGACGTAGAACATAGTTTGCATCTCCAGTCCATGTTCGGCCTGCAATTGAATAAAATATTTCTTTAATGAGTAAGTGTTTAGGTAAGCATAATAAAGTAGGTGCTGATCTAGAGGTTACAAATGAAATAAAAGTAATAACTATTATAACTCAAATCCAAGCAAATCCTCTGTAACAGTTTGGAGAATCCCAACTATTAATATTACCTTTTTACAACCCATTTAAAGTTTACAGCTGGACTCAATTATTTCACATCTATTAAATATCAACTTCAGTAAAAATAGTAGAGAATGAGAGACCTGTTTTACAAAAGGAACAATTAATTAAATACTGACTAATGATGTAAAATACTCAATACGTTAACAAGGCCAAACATGTTAATTCTGTTCAGTATAAATAGACTTACATTTGCTATTTTTAATGTAATTAATAATGCAGCTTTAAGAAATATATAAATATATAAAGATACCTTAGATATTGGGGGAGTTGCTCAATAATTGGTTTCCACCCTGGATGAAATGAGCTGATAAGAGAAATAGAAAATTTATTTAATTATTTCAATTTGTTAAACATTGTGATCCATGTTTACTTTTTAAGTAAAAAAAACAAAAGTAAGAAAAATTGACTTACCAGATGAAATGCTTTCATCACGTCTGTGGGAATGATGATATGGCCTACAGCAGCTCCCTGTGAAAAATTTTCATGTTTAATTTACACATAATAACCTCTTACAAACTAAATTCAATGTACATATTTATATTTTTTGGCCATCATTCAAACTGGTTTATCTCCATTTTATTTGGTTAGATTTTGAAATATTCAACAAAGTTTAAGTGAGTGTTTGTTTAATTCATAAAGCTTAGTTTTTATTTAGTTTCAGTTAACTGAAATGATTTCTTAATTTTAGTTAAAAGGATTTAAATTGAGTTAAAATTATTTTTATTTTGTGAACTATAAAAATATACATATATGGGCAGACCTGCATACGTGACAAGTTAACTTGTACAATAATATTCTTTCTCTTAATAACATACCTGAATCTTTCAACAGACAATCAACAATTAAGAAACATTTACAGTATACTCACCACAGAAGATCTCCGAGCTTTAGGAGAAGCCCCAGACTCAGAACGATGCAGCTGACGAGTGGATGCTAGTGGTCTGTAGCAGGTGTACAGTAACACAGAGCTAACGTTGCTAGCTTGCGAAGGTGCCGAGTGCCCCAAACTCACTTTAACCGCTGTGGTCAAAAAACACAATATAAACTATTCTTTTCTGTGCAATGGTTATACATAAAACTGAAGCACAGTTTTAATACTGTTAGTCACCTTTACTCGTCTGTCTCTGCCAAGTCCAGCCTCGAGAAGGCACCCGATTTTTTTTTTGTTTTTTTTTTTAAGAACGTGCCCAAAGCACGCAGCGTTCCGCATTTACTTAAAATATTTCATTGAATGACAGCCATCAACTCAAAAGTATTAATCTACTTCAAATTAAAAGAACATTATTCAGTCAGAAAACTCATTAATTAATAGTTATTTTTACAGAAAACTTGATTTTGAGTTATCTACCCTTAATAACTTTAAGTTAGTAGTACTGTTTGGGTTTACAGTGTATTTAGAGGGACTTGTCAGTATCTTAATTGAACCTCATGTGCTAACCTCAATTTTTCTATTAACACTCCTTTACCCTCTCCTAAAAATGTTTTCAAGCAATTTTGTCTGTTTTTTTTAGATTCAGCTTAATGAGATCTGCAGGGAATCGATGTGAATGGAGGTTGTTCAAAGAGTGGAAAATGACCTCTGGCAGAAGAAATTCTTTTGTTTGTTGTTGCATTTATATTTTATTATTTCACTGTTGGCCATTATTTGAAGCTCCTGTGAAGCACATCCGTCTCAATTTCTGTGCTTTGACTTATGTACCTTTTTGTATTCTTCTATTCTTCTTCTATTGCAGAGAAATGCTTAAAGGCAGTCAGCACCCCCCAACCCCATAAGAAAAATAACATAAATTAAAAAACTTGCCAGAGGGCAAATTCGGCTTTAGTTTTTTTTTAAGTTATTTCCAGTAAACAAACATCACTAAAACTCTTTAGCTCATGACTTGTAATCACTCTTAAGTTTGAGACCAAACCCACTTCCATGCTTTCCAGTAGGCAGAATGATTTATAATCTTCAATAAAGAAAAGCTTTAAAGGGGTCATAGAATACAAAACCGAATTTTCATTGTGATAGATGAATAACTCTCACAATTGTAAACTTCCTCCATAAAAGGGGAGAATTCAAACGAAGCCCAGAGTTGACATAAACTCTGGGATTTAGCTGTTTAGCCTACAGTTGGGTTTTCTTCTACAAGAATTACAAAGGAGGCAGTTTCTCTGTTGAAAATGAGCCAGAACCACGGGCGTAAATGCAGTGTTTCAGGTGGCACGGAGAAAGGGGAACATTGTCGCAGTCTTCTCAAGGATCCGAAGACTCAACAGGCATGGAGTATTTTTAGTCTATCAGACCTTCAAAGTTTGGTGCTTAGCTGTTCAATTGCTTTAAACATTTTACCGAAGACAGCTTTCAAAATCTTGGACAGTTCAAAGCAGGATTTAGTAAAATTCCTCTACCGAAACGAGGGGCTTACGGCACAACCGAAGCTGTAATTATTATTCTGTTGCTAAGCTGTAGATAGCAATAATAGCATATCTAGGGTGACCAGATTTGGGTTTCTGAAAGGGGGGGGTGAGGGGGGAGTACTGGGGTGGCTGCCGCTGACTGGACTCGACCGGGCACTCGAACCCAGCCATCAGCTCCGGGGCTGGTCCAGAAACCCCGGCGGATGTGGACAGGGAGCCAGCCGGGGACGGCGCGACCGAACCTGACCCGGTGACGGTATGCTTCCCCCTGCCTGCCTTACTGTGCTTCAAGCATGGGGCCGCCGGTGTCCAGTCTACCGTCATGGGGTCAGGTTCGGTTGGTCCGTCCCCCGCGAGCGCTGGCATGTTTTGACTACGTCCTGCACTGTAGTATCCGGAAAACTTTGAAATTCCCCCTGGACATTCTTTTAGGTATGAAAAGTAGGACATGTCCAGGAAAAAGACAACGTCTGGTCACCCTACCATATCAACAATTTCGATGTTTCAGAGAGTGAGTGCTTGTTGCTATGATGCGTCTTTGCTCGGTAGCTTTGCTCGTGGTAAACCAACCAATCAACACACAGCTCATCTAAATATTCCTGATCATACCATAAAAGGAAGAAAACCAGTCGTTTCATTCTACGGCTTTTAGCAAGGCTTGCATTAGGGCTCATACAACAGCAAATATGCCATTTTCAGCCCAACCAATGCTACACACCCTATTCAGAGACCTTAAGGACCAGCACCAAATACCCTATAGTATCATTTTGCCTTTAAGATGATTTTACCTGATGGAAGGTCAAACATGTTGCAATGGTTTCCCTTTCCAAATCTCCTCCTGGCTCTTGGGCTTTATGTTTTTCTGTGAGAGTTTTGCTCTGAGGCTCAAACTTAAAAGAACTATATAGGGGGTTTCGGAAGATGGAGGTGTAGCAAGCGGTTGACTTCCTTGAACTGTGCACCATATATTCTAAATTTAAGCAGCCACCCTCTTCCTAAGACTTTTCAATTAAATGCGGTAATACGAATACCAAACGCTCTTCTGACTCACTCCAGTACAATGCTGCCCAAAATCCTAAAGAAACCCAACAAGTCCTGCAAAGTAGATTCTCAAGTGACTGGCATAGATAATATTGCTAACATGGAGCTAGCTGCTGAGGTGCCAGCAGCTGAAGGGCCACCACACTCGAACCCGCTCTTTGCCAAGTTATTGAGGAAATCACTTTCCTCAATAACTTGGCAAGTAGACATTCTGACTAAAATGCTTCAGAGCCAGGCCACAGAGATCAAGCCCTAAAATTCTTTGAAAAATGGCTGTGCAAATTTCTTCAAGTCGAGACCAAGAGCAAGAGACCAGTGGATCAAACTTTAGAAGGCAGACTTGCTCAACAACCCAGGCCTATACAGGCCAGTGCTGATCAGATTTCATAACTTCCAGGATCAACAGCAGGTTCTCAAAACCACGTGGGGCACGGGGACCAGTCTCTGATGTATAAGAACTGTAAGATCGGGATTTCTCTGCAGACACCATGCGCAGGCGCAAAGGATACGATGCGGTAAAGCGACGGTTGTGGGAGGCAGGAATCCAGTATTCTCTTCTTTAACTGGCCAGGGTGAGGATTGTACCTGATGGGGGAGCAAAGATTTCTATTTCACCGGGTAAAGCAATGTAGATTGTAGACAGTTTAGGCAGAAATTATGCCAGTGGAAGATCATGGAGGAAATGGTCTGGACCGGATGGTGTAAGGGATCTGATCTCTTTGTATGTTCTGGTTCTCTCTGTTCTCCTCTTTCCATATAAGGACAAGGGATGTGAGTAATTGTGGTTACAACTCTTTTCAATCTAACTGCTCAGCTGTGCTTTCTTAAGAATTTTAAGTGGTACGTGGCAAGAATAGATATGTAATAAATGTCCTACTTTGGTTTTGTGTGTGTTGTCATCAGGGAGATGAAACACACGTGCTTAGTAAAGGAATCTGTTAATTTTGGTTGGTTCCTGTTAAGCTCAGCACATTGCAGTCCTTGTATGTAATCATTATTTGGGTGGTATTGCATTATGACTCTATACTATTCTGTAAATGCTAAGACTATCTAGATGGAACATTAAGAGAAGTCATTCACCAATTAAAAGAAAAAAAGGTCCTTTTAGCCCTTAAAAAGGGAGGCTTAGTTATTGCGCTGATGCAGGAGACACATTTAAACAACTCTGTGTATTTAAAATTTCAACAATGCGGTTTTGAAAATGTTTTTTTTCTCCTCTTTTACTGACAAAGGTAGAGGAGTTGCAATTAAAAATCCATGCCCTTTAAAGTCATAGATGTATTAAAGACGCAAATGGGAGGTATGTACCTCTTAGAGCAATGATAAAGTGGGAAGAATTTGGTGATATTGAATGTTTATTTTCCACCAGGTAACCCTATTAACTTCTTAACTGAAATAATAGCAAAACTGGCAGATCTCTGCTGAAAATATTATTTTAGGAGGTGGTTTTATTTGTCTTAGGAATCCACTGATTGATAGGCTCCCCATTAGCTTCCTTCCCATTTCAGGGAAATCAAAACAGATTTTCCGGGATCTATGGGGAAACTACAGTATTCTGCTGGAAAGGAGTATACTTTCTACTCCAACCCCTACAGATGCCACACACGTATTGACTATTTTTTTTCTCCCTAAAATAATTTAAAGACAATTTGCATTATGCAAACTAGAGCACATTGTTATATATGACCATTCTGCATTATATCTAAATCATACCTTTAAAAAGGCGAGTATTTTAGAACAGAATTCAAACAATTCCTCACTGTCAATTCTCCGTCTGCTTGCAGCACCTCCTTGCTCTGGGACACAGCTAAGGCATTTTGTAGAATATCAATAATACCATATACTTGCAGCAAAAAAAGAAAAATATTTGCAGAACAACAAAACATATTAAAAAGAAAGCTTAGACTCAAGGAACTAGAATATGTAAAAAAAAAAATGTCTGTGGTCTAAGTTTGGGCAGCTCGATGCCATCTGGTGCTTGCTGAACACATTGCTGAAGGAGAATGCTACAGACAAAGTCAAATTTGCTAAACAAACATTGTTTGAAAATGGGGGTATACCAGATTGATGCCATTCCTTTCTTACAAAAGCGTGGAAAACCTCCCGAACAACTACATCCATTTCTTAACGGAGTGGTTTATGTTCTACAGACCCAGAGAAAAAAAGAAACGACACTACTTAGGGACACTGAAGTTTCCGGCATTGAAAAACTGTCTTTCGGAACTTGTGAAGTGTCATTCAATACTCCCCTCAATCTATCAAATAAACATATCCAAAATCAAAGCAAGAGTCAGTTGTATAATGACCTAATTTTCTATGCTCGAAAGAATATTTTGTTACAATGTGTTTCTAATAAATCTCCTACTATTTTTGGGTGGAAGAAGCTTATTTTGGAATATATCCCTCTCGACCTTCTAACCTATGCCTCGTCCACTCTGACATTTTTGGACGCATATGGAAGTCCTTCTTGGACTATGCTGAAGACCACGTGTCTACATACTTTCTCAAACGTTTATAAATGTTTAGATGTGATCTATATAATGATTGACGTATGCACAGCTCAGCCTTTTAAAACGGCCCTTCCCAGTCATACTTCTGCGGAATGGCAGCCTACTCCCCTGTGAGTCCTTGGCGTGCGTTTTTTTTTACTCTGGCTCTACCCTTTCACTGAATTACAGGGCCTTTACAAGATTGATGTTTAAAAGAGAATTTTAGGGAACCAGACAAGGGCCCAATAAGGAAAGTGGGAAAATTTTAAATAGCTACTACTGTATGCCCCCTATCTTTTCTTTTGTTCTCCTCTGGAGTTCGCTCTTTGGCTTTTGTTCTGTGTTATGTTGTTGTTGTTACTGAGCAAACTATATATACAAACAAAAATAAACATATCAGATAAAGCTCTCATTCAAATGTTTATCGAAGAAAACAGTATTTTGAACTGTTCATCTCAAAGTTTTATATAGCAATACATAAAGGAATTTTGTACAAATTGAATCACAATATGTTAATAGGATTTTTTTTATTGTAAAATAAGTTCATAGAAAAGTAATTACAGTCAGTTTTAGCATCCTTGGATCTCCTTATTCATGTTTAACAGAAACTGGTCTAAAACATTTCAGTGCTATTTTCCTTTCCAGATATGTTTTGTAAACTTTAATCAAATGTTAAACCTGCCAACTTTATCAGACCAACATGGTTATCGCTATGGTGGTGGAGATTCTCAGTCATCCAGGTCATAGTCCTTCCAAATAAGTAAAAAAAAAACAATCCACTGAACTTTGTTTCCAAGTTTGAGAAAAAAAGAAGAAAGAAAAAACAACCTTTAACCAAGGGGGTGGACTCAGTTTTCAGCTTTCAAAAACCTAAAATGCAGCAATTGAGTTGATCCCTTCACGCTATCATTGCAACCCCAACCCCTTTACAGGGAAACAGAAAACCCTACCTATTCAGCCAGGGCAACAATTCCCCTTAATGACCCCCATTTCAGAGACATAGACAGGTATGGGGCATAGCAGGCTAACAAAAGAAGCCAAACGAGCTCCATTCCAAAAGGGGGGACCCGTTCTTCTGTTTAAATTTGCTTGTTTTCTAAACAAAAACTTCCTGGATGGGAAGTGAAACGTCTTCAAACTTTGAAAAAAGGTCCAGTGGATCAACATATTCTCATTATCAGTTCGTATGAAATCGTACGAAAAGTTATGCACACTATTTCATACGTTTTGGACGTTTTTCCTCAAAAAACCACATCAGTGCGCATGCGCTGGCAGACAGAAAAAAAAAAGATCCGCGGACGGACGTAAAACTGGGAAAAACACTGCAATCATCACTTATTCATGTCTCTCACTACGTTGCTTGCTGTTTTATATCTTAGGGTTAGGGTCAGGGTTAGGGCTAATTCTGATTTATACTCTATATTCGTGAATGGTGCGTCAGATGCTTATGCGCATACGACGAAAAAAACGTCCAAAACGTACGAAATTACAGTGCATAACTTTTCGTGCGATTTCATATGAACTCATAATGAGAATACACTGAGTGGATTGTTTTTTAACTTTTTGGGAATGGTTATCGTTATCAACATGGCTAAAGATATCACAGTTAGAGTAACTAACAGAGCTAATTTTTAATGTTATGCTAGGTTAGTTGTTCGATGATGACCTCACCGGTTCCTCTTGTCTTGTGCCATGTGTGTTTGTCATGCTAGGCTGTATAAATGTGCGTGGGTGTGTGTGTTTATGTGTGGGAACACATATTTGTGTGTGGATGTAGCTTTGCTCGTATCAATGTGTCTGAGTCTCACCGGTCTTCTTCTGTCCTGTCCTGTGCTTTCTCTTTTGTTGTGTGTGCACCCGTTGCTTTAGCTATCGGTACTCAGCGGAGGAGGACTCCCAGTGCCATTGCCTCTGAGATCTTCGAACCTCACCTGGGTAGCCACATTTTACAGGTAGGAATTATTCATTGCTTACAAACTATTTCAGCCATTGTCGGATATCACACTATTTATGAGATTGCCTAATTCACTATTTCTATAAAGTCCATTTGAATTTGCAGTTAGCCTCTATGTTTGTATTTTACAGCAGTACTGGGAACTTGTTGCTCAGAATTATAATTAAGTTATTTTATATTTTATCAATAGCGCTGTCTCCTTATTAGAACGATTGATAAAAGAGAAACTGAAGCCTGTGAATTCTCAAATAACCAGCGCTCTTAAAGGAACCTAATGAATTACAGTATACAAATATGACTCAGATGAATCAGAGTATGAGGTTTATAGAGAGCTTCTGTTGAAATGACTTTATTTGGACATTTTTGTGACGTGAGAAGAAAAAAGTAGAAGCAATCTGGCAGAGCTTCAACCAAGAAAGACGCCAGCAAATTCTAAAAGGAGAATGATTTATTGTTTTATTGTAAAATCTGCAAGTAGAAGATTTAAACCAACAACTCAGTGCTCCAAATGGCGGTTTGTGAGCTTTAGAAATTGTAAACTCTTTTTGTTTTGTTTTTAAGTAAAATTCCACCCTGCCGTATATCAGGAGGGGACATACCCACAGCTCATTTATATAGGGGCTTTGTTTGGCTCAAAGCAGGTTTGTTGAAATGCTTTCAGCCACTAAGCTCCATTTTTAATGTGGGCACATGGCTACTTTCATATGCAGATAGGATTGGGTGAATAACTCATAACATTTACCCCATCAGCATACAAGCATTTCTTGTTTTGTAGATACCAGGATTTCTACCCGCTTCCCACCAACCTCTCCACAGTTTACAGCTTCTGGCCTGTTAATTGAAAAATATTTAAAGGAATTGCTTTATAACAAAACACTTTCTGTACATTCATGTGTCTATAGTCTATAGGCATTTGAGTGAGGAAAAGTGAAGGTAGTAATGGCTGTTAAATATACCTGGCTCCAAAAGGACTCAACTATATGCAGCAATAACAAAGGATATACTTCCACACAAGATACTTATTATGAAGAAAGATAAAAGAAAAGTGATTTTAAGAGGGATTAAAATGAGAAAATAAATTCAGTGGAATGATTGAAATAGAACATTGTGGATTGTAATACAGAACTAGGACTATCCTATAAAAGTGCTGTTAGAATAAATGCCCTTATTCTTCTAAATTGATGGATATAGATCAAGTGACTGCATTGCAATTCTTCTGCAGATTGACACCTGTACACATTGCAGCGTTTCATGATATCCCTCCTACTAGATTATCTGTTGCTGAAAGATGTTTAACATTTTGATCAACATGTTCATTTTAGACCAATTTGCAGTAGGGCTGGGCAATTAATTGCATTTGCAATATAATCGCAATTTAGAAAAATGCTAATTTTAAAATCGCAGAGGCGATTGTCAAATGTATCACATTACGTTTAATGAGAGTAAGACACTAAATTTCTCCCTCAAGCCATTTAGGTGGTGATAATATGATTAAAGTGGGCCTGCTGTCGCACGTAATGAAACAGGGAGTTACAGCCATAGAGTTATAACAATACTTAGGCTTAAACACAGAAAGGCTTGAAATGGCAGATACTGCAAATAGGCTAAAATCACAAAATTTGAAAAAAAAAACAACATAAAAAAACACAATATATAGCAGTATATAGCAAAAACAGCGCAATAGTTAATGCGTTGATGCCAGACTCAAATCGGACGATAAGAAAAAAAAAAAAATCACCTTAATCTATTCTCATAGATTGGGATCCACCGCCAACGTATATTTTTGATTTGAGAACGAATCATTCTTGTGTATAGGCCTACTGTTAACACATTGAACGTGATGTGCTAACATGGATGCACCTATAAAGCCACCAGTGGTGTCAAAAGTTCACACATTTGTTACTTAAGTAGAAGTATAGATACTGCAGTTTAAAAACACTCTGGTAAAAGTTGAAGCATCAACTTGACCTCTTTATTCAAGTAAAAGTGAAAAAGTATGTGCTCCAAAAACTACTTAAAGTATGAAAGTATAAAGTAAAAAACAAAAAAAACAGCGAGATGCCACTATATGAATTGAAAGCTAAATTTTTGGACTATTTCGAAAAAATTCTCTGAGATAGGGCCAAGGATGAGGGAGGTCTTGTCGGTCTCCATCTACTGATACGCTCTCGCCTGTGTCCGACCTTTCTGACATTTCAACATCTTTTTCTGAATCCTACATTGTAGCATGGCATAGACAATTCACATTAGCAGTTTGAAGAACACCTGCTTGCTTCTGATGATTTCCTTTAGCTAACCAATGAGTGTTTGTGTTATACGACTCATCCAATGACACTAGTTTTCACTAGATGTGGATGGAGCCAATGATCTGCATTGGAGGGCGCACATGACGTGAAATAAATATTTATAAACGTTAAACCAGGGGTAACCAATTAAAAATCAGCGGGATCTGAATAAAGGAAATCATCAATCAGTAAAGGTCCAGAGACATTTTTAATGATCTGTTACTTTAAATAGAATTTAACAGTGAAATAAAATTTGGTTTTTATGCATTCATGTTATACATAGAATTTTTTTAGATAAGAAAATATATATATAAAAAAAATAGAATATTTTTACATTTTAAAATCTAAAGTGTTTTTTGAAGTAGAGAACAACAATCTTTCAGTTTGATATATAGACCATTTCCTGGTTCACATATTTTATTAAACATTATTGTTATTTCTGTCTTAATGTTCGCATTGGGCTTCAGGCTGCCCTGCAAGGCTTTAAACCTGGTTTGAATGGAGACAAAGTCATTCTCAAGCACATATCAAGGTGCTCATATTGAGCCTGGATCCATATTTATTTTTGATTCTGTTCATGGTGGAGAATCCTGCTTCACAGCAGCAGGTTGAGCCAAACATCCTCTAAATGTTCAGGCTCCAGCTAGGTCAAGATCCACTATTGCAATCGCACTAAACAGGAAAAAGAACGGCGAGAAGATCCTGTTTGTCAAATTAAAATATAGAAACAACAGATTGGTAATAACTACAAATTAAAGCATAATTCTTATATATTTCAAAAAACTAACACCTATTATCTAAATGATTGGATGCAAAGTATTGGTCCTTTAACAGACCAGGAAGCAGATTTCTCATCTTCATCAGAAACCGCACATCTGCTGGATGCTGATGAGGATTTTTTAAATATGTCATATTAAATTAAGCATTCATTTCCGCATGTTTTGCTCCTACGAAGTTAATGATAATATCGTGCATGCTCTCCTCAAGCTCCGAGGATAAGTCAGAGCGGAGCAATACGGGAGGAACAGCGGAGGCTGTAGGCTTTGCTTTGCGCAGGAGGTCTGGAGCGCAGCTGGGCGGAGCAGAGGATGTGGGATTTCGGGGTAACAGGAGAAGCGGCGCAAGTGACGTTTAGACAATGTTGTCAGATATGCGGTAATTTATAAATGTTTTGAATCAGGTGGGTCCCGATCCGGACCGCGGTCCTCTAATCCGTGACCTCTGCATTAAAACGAAGCCAAGAGTAACAAGTCACTTTTGTTTTAAAAATGTAAGGAATAGACAGTACAGATACTTGTGTGACAATGCAATGAGTAGAAGTCGGAAGTAGGAGGAAAATAAGTACTGGAGTAAAGTGTCATGTTGGGTTCAAGGCGTCTAACCCACATGCAGAAACCAATCTTGAAACAGGGAAAAAGTTAAATGATTTATTCTGACAATGTTCACAAGTAAACGATGCACAGGTTCTTGGTTCTTCAGACTGGTCACGGGAGGAACACCACTGTGGAGGACAGAGCAGTTAGAGTTGATCCAGGAAACTTGCAGTTTACAGATGACGGGGTTAAATACCTGCTCAGAGAGGAATCTGATCAGCAGGGGGGGAACCTTGAGGGTCCAGAGGCTAGTCGGCAGGCAGAGGGCTGAGGGCAGAGGCAGAGACTGAGGCGGAGGGCAGGCAGGCAGATTCCAGACAGAGATTTCTATCTCCAGGATTTCAGGTTTCCAGAAAAGTCAGGATCTGTGGGGCAGAGAGAAACAGGATCAGACAGGTTCACAAAATCAGGGTTTCAGATCAGGCAGGCTGGCTCAGGTCTTGCTATACCATTACTGGCAAACACTCTGGCAGGGAAGTGTCAGCCTCCTCCTCCTTAAATAGGTCTCCTGATGAGCAGACAGGAAACAGGTGTGTAGAAGTCAGCTCATGCCCTCAGGAGGAAGATCTCAGGCGCCCTCTGGTGGAGAAAGTGGACAAGCCTCCAGATCCCAACCTAAAGTATGGTGGATGGATGGATGGATGGAATGATGGATGGATGGATGGTTGATGGATGGATGGTTGATGGATGGATGGATGGATGGATGGATGGTTGATGGATGGATGAATGGTTGATGGATGGAAGGATGGATGGATTGATGGATGGTTGATGGATGGATGGATGGATGGATGGTTGATGGATGGATGGATGGATGGATGGTTGATGGATGGATTGTTGATGGATGGATGGATGGATTGATGGATGGTTGATGGATGGATGGTTGATGGATGGATGGATGGATGGATGGTTGGATGAATGGATGGATGGATGATGGATAAATAGATGTATGGATGGATGAATGGATGATGGATAAATGGATGGATGGATGGATGGATGGATGGAGGATGGATGGATGGATGGATGGATGAGAAATAAATAGATGGATGGATAATAAATAAATGGATGGATGGATGAGAAATAAATGGATGGATGGATGGATGGATGGATGGATGGATGGATGGATGGATGGATGGATGGATGGATGGATGGATGAGAAATAAATAGATGGATGGATGAGAAATAAATAGATAGATGGATGGATGGATGATGAATAAATAGATGGATGGAGGATGGATGGATGGATGTTGTCTTTGTTAGGATATCAGTTACTGACTGAATGCTGCATCTGATCCTTTATCAGATCCATCCCAGCCACCCCGTTGCATTAGATCCAAGGGACA